TAGGTTGTTGTTGTAGTGAATCTCAGTTGGGTTGGGTCGATTACCTTCATGTCTTAATAAACCTAAGGTCCCAATAGTCTGGGAGCATGGGCGCCCATGGAGCCCCGACCAGGTTATCTGTACTTGTTTAGTTTTTTCTTAACCTACTATACCCCTTTTTGGGTACTTTTGTTTCTTTTATTGAGCCTTTGTGGGAGCGTACTACAAGTCCTCTCACGTCAGAGGCCACTACCCACAATATTACAGTGATTCGCTCTCTACCTTGTGACCTAGTTTCATCCTTGCAACCTAGAGGTTTCTCATACATGAACCAAAAAAAAACATCATTGGCTACTTACTTTCAAGGTTTTTTTATCAAACACAACATCTTTTATCATGAGTTTTCCTGGGTAGCCCACAAGTTGTAATTAAACACAAGGTAACCTCATCGTAGGAGGTCTCCTGGAACCAATAATTAAATGAACTTAATTTTATCTTCAAGTTTATATATGAATATCTTCTTATAGAATTCTTCTCATATATTTACTCAAGCTGAGCATGGTCGGATTCACTTTAAGCTGCACTTTTCATATTTATGTTAAAGAATTTTTTTTTATAAGGTATTTTCATAATTATCCTTTTTTATTAGCCTTCTTAATGTCCATTTGAATCCATCTTTCCTTCCTCCTTCCTTTAGATGGAGGCTATTTTGCGATTGGGAATTTTATGAGGGGCTTTGATTGAAAGCATTGCATGTTTCATATGCATAGATAACAAAAAGGGGCTTAAACACCTGGGGCATTGTGCTCTCAAAGTTATCAATAACTACTCAAATTTAATCCATAGACATGTTAAATAGGTAGATATTCTTTAATATTATTCAATTATTCTCAAACATTACCTTTGTATTTAAAAATAAGCCATATAGTACCTTATTTAGTGTAACTTTAATTGTAATCATTCTAGAGCTAAAAAGTTTAAGATTTGAATGAACAATAACTTTCTTTGAATTACATTGAGAACTTTGATTAGCTTTCAGTTCTACAATGAATGCTCTATTTTATTAAAAGATATGTAAACAAAAATAATTTTGCATACCTAGAACTTAGAGAATTTTTAATCTTTATATTGCACTATAGAGGAAAAGTTGGATAGTTTAGAAAAGATAAAACCCTCATGTTATAAAAAGTTAATTTCACTAGTAATATGTCCAAATTCTTATGACCCAATCTTTGATTTGAAATTAAATCAAAGACATGAAACAAAAATAATTTTAATATGTTGCATTTCCATTACTCTATACAATTTGGGAGTATCTCTCAATTGATTTTATTTGCGGATTCCCCATTTTAGATTAAGGATATTTACAGTATGTTCATTGTTGTTGAATGCTTCTCAAGGATTGTCTATTTTTTCCATATTAAAAAACTATTGACACTTTTTACATTATTATACTGCTCTTTAAGAAAATTATATTTTACATGGCCTACCTTCAACCACTATGTTCAGCTGTGATTTTTGTTTCATATTTTTGGAAGATTTTATAAAAGGCTACTAGAATCTAAATTGATATTCTCATATGCCTTTGAAATCTCCAAAGATATCTTATAGGAAAATTATCAGAAAATTATGACTTGAAATTAACAATCTATGATTAATTTGCAACAATAATGATATTCATAGAACTACGTCAGCCTACTTTTTAAAATAGTATAGGTAACTTCTTAATATAGCCAACATCCGATCCATACTTATTCAAGTTTTTTTTTTTTTTTTTGCCATAGATTTACAAAGCCTCTTAAAGCTTAAAATGAAAAATGTTCTTTTAAGGTAAGTCATAGTAGGTCAATTTGACTACTTAGCAGAAATTTTAATTTTCTATTTATAAAATCCTACTTTCATTGAAGTAAACTATACCATCACCGAGAAAGCAACCACTGACCAAGCTATCATTATTTTCAAGTTTGTTGAATGTGCAAGCCATTCTTTCATGACATATAGTTATCCCACACTGATTTGAAGACTCTGGCAACATTATTGTTGAAAGACATTTTGAATTTTATCTCAATTAGCATAGCTCAATTGAGCCTAGAGGAGTTGATTTAGCATATCAAGTGGACTCAAAATATCATATTAAAAGCTTAAATATAAAAGCTAAGGCTAAAGCCCAAAGAAGAGAGAAGAACGGTCACAACTATAAAAGCCCAAATTAGGACCTAATAAGGGGATCATTATTTAATTTCCCATTTAGAAACTTGTATATCTGGCCTTGTCATAAAAAAGACATGAAAATTAATGGTTGGAGTATCGCATTCTATAATGGCCACCACATTTCTTTTCTCTCTTCATTTATTCCAAAAATTTTTGCCTAAGAGTTTTGTACTGAATATTATCTCGAGTTTTAATGCTTTATCATTTATGTTATTGAATGGAAAATTTTTTGAGAATAATTGCTTGTTTATGTAGCTTAGTGCTCAGTGTCTCAAATTTTATCTGTTTTTTGTTAAGATTTGGTTGTTATCCTTATTCTACTTGTACTTTTTTCTTTTTGTTCTCTTAAACCCCTGCTCTCAACTTCTATCACCTCTCCACCCGCATCTCTAACATCCTCTAAGACTAGCCACTACACAATCCAAACTTCATAATTGTACCAAAATCCACTCTTAGCTAAGCTAGGCATGATTAGAACCTAATATTCTTCTCTACTCCTTGACACACATCCATCTTCTCCAAATCATAACCACACATCCCAAGCTTACCATCCCCAATAATTGCCACCCAGTCACCCCACCATAAACCCATTCATTAAAGATATCATTCTAAAATGGCTCAAACTATCTTACTCAAGACTAGTCTTGGCTTTCCTACTATATCATAATAAACCTATGACTCATCTTTAGATATTAAACTAAAAATCAAGAATTATTTCTAGCACCTAATCTCACTAAAAGCCCACCCACCCACCCTCCACCATCATTTTAGGTGCACTAAAACGTGGTTAAGGGTTTGTTTAGAGCCTTAATAATTTATTCTCTTTCTCGAAACTCTCTAGTCACAATAATGGTTCGGTCAAGAGTTCATGGGCCACAATAAAGCAGGCAAATTTTAAATGCAGATTTGCAAAAATAAACATCAAGTCCTCTAATAATGTGATGTTGAAATTAAAAACAAAAATTCCTGTGAAGCCAAAATGAGAGGTGGAGAAGAAAAGGAGTCGAATCCACCAGACTGAGTGGTTCCCTCATGCTTTTTTAAAGAAAGCGACTTAAATTGATATAATAAAAAAGGGATATTTACTTACAGACCACATAAAACATCTATATTTACAAGTTAATATGGACGATTTTTATGAACTACTGAATTGATGTTTTTACGTGTGTCATGATCAAACTAATCAGAATTTGATAAAAATGAAAAATTTGGGTTGGGATTTTATCATGAATTTGGATATTTGAGTAAGTATTTGAAAATTAGATGAACGAGAATGATAGATTTGTAAATAGCAAGTTTAGGTTGGTCTGTGTGTAATTGCCCAAAAAAATACTGCAACTTTGCATCAGGCGGGCTCGTTGGTTTAAAAAATGATATGATTGTGACCAATTGAAGCATCAGATAACTCAATTATTATGAGCAGAGCAAACGTGAGCATCCATTCATATAAAAGGCCGGAAAATGACATTCAATCATGCATTTTTTTTCACTGTTTTATCGGTAGAAGTTAACGATTCTGATTAATTATAGTGATCTTCGTGCGCATTAGCATCTTTGTTTAGATATTTAGTATTCTTGTGAGAATTGAATATGTTCATGAGATAAGCTGGCTTTTTCTGATTTTGATTTAATGACCGAATCATATAAATTGATGTCTAATTGAACCTTTAAGTAGCTGTTTTGATTTTCTGTCTTCAAAGTTAAAGCTCAGAATCGTTAATGTAAATTCTAAAGCTTTGTCAAGCCTGAGTGCTCTTTTACTCTTTTTTTTCACTCTCTGTCTTTTTATCTACTTCTCCCTTAAGGTCTCTACCGCTCTGATCCTTGGGCATGCCACAGAAGATAGATGTGGTTTTAACATCTTAAATGGTGTGGTGAGCGTGGAGTATGCTATCAACAAGAAGGAAAACAAAACCAACGAAGATAAATACATCTTAGATAAACTGCAAATAAGGAGCACAACAAAAAGTTTATGTAGCAACAGATCTAGAGCAGAAAGACCCATTTAGGAGGCCAGTACGGCAAAAAGGATAGCTAGCTCACAACGGTTCGGAAAAACTGACCGATCGTATATGCACACCACTCAATCAATTTCGGGCAGCTGACACATTACCCAGTGAATAGAGGAAGTATTAATTCAAAACCCATCTTATGTTATGGCAAATTTCTCTAATGTTTTCCCAAATCTAATTGACACTTGAGAAACTTGAATCCAAGTAGCAAAGCCGACAATAGCCCCAAAAAGATATGATTGGCAGAACAAAACAAAATGCTGCAGCATAGAAACTCTTGGTCTCCAACTTAGAATCGGACATTGCTCTAGAGATGATTCACTGATCAGTAGTAACAAGTTTGTGAAGGGAACAATGCAAATCACCTCAATAGCGAGTCTCAACGGTTACCCCTATAAAGGCGACAACAAGATCAACCTAAGTCCTAGAGAAATGTGAGATCTGGCCGAAGCCACAATTTGATCAAACAATTGAGACCTTAAAAATTATATAGTGCAAGCCAGCCTATATAATAATAAAATAATTTCAATGTTGATTCTCAATATTTTGTGTAGCTAATGTTTCTTTTTCAGATTAATTTCTCCTGGGCCACTCGTGTCACACATCACAAAGAACATTCAGTGTAGATTAATAGACGCAGGACATGGTTTCAAGAGTTTGAGATATGATTATTTAATTTGAATTATAATACTAATTTTAAGCTATTAATTTACTAATCAACATTAAATAATTTCTAATTTGCAAAGATCTTTTTAATGGCTAATGAAGCAATTCTACATGATATGCTTTATTTTTTAGGTTTGTAGCAGGCAACGGTTGGGTGACATATTCAATACAACTCAGAGGAAGGGGAGTGGCCAATCTAGGTGGTTTAGGAGGTCTGGATTGTGTTGAATAGAGTCCGTGCCTCCCCAAATTATGAGAGGAAAAAATAGACAAACCAGCAGAACCCAACAATCGAGGGAGCTAGGGGCACTACACTTTATATTGGAGGCTCAATCCCCCACACAAAGCACTACTAGAATCTGGTATGTAATTATGTGGTAGTAACTATTTCTTATGTACATGAGTAAGGAGCTTGGTCGTCCACCCAGCATTATAGAGTTACATGTTCGAACGCAACAGTAAGTCTCCGACCTCCTCGACGGGTCAATGTAAATAAAAAAATATTTATTTTTTATATTTTTTGACTATTAATGTTAAATATTATAGTTAATCTTTGGTTTTAATTATGTATGAGGAGTACGAGCAGTTCCGAGAGAGGCACAAAGAGTTAGACAACCATACCCCAAAATCCACCAGCAATAGTTGTAGTCAGTCTACCACTTCGCAGTCTTATTTTGAGCTATAGATGTGAACGATGATGAAGAAGAATGGGAGGGTCTACGGCCTGGGCACGAAGGGCATAACATTCAAGGTCGAGCTCTCTCATGTTCTAGTGGGTGGTTCGAGCTCGTTTCATGTAGTCATGAGGAGCTTACCAGGAGGGTCAGTGCCATGAATGAAGAACTTTATTAGATATGTGAAGGCCATTCTAGAGTTAAGGAGACTCTAGCACGCCTGATGGAGAGTGTTGCAGATTGCCTGAGTAAGTGGCCTTTAAGTTCTGTAGATGAAGAGGAGGAAGAAAATGGAGATGAGGAGGAATAGAAGTTTTATGTTTTTTTTAGCATGTGAACATATATTATGTGTTTGGATGTAAACATTCATGAATTTTGATTAATATTTGCTACATTATATTTTTTTTCATTGTTGGTACTTGTTTGTGGTTAGATTTTGAGTCCTGATGATGGATAAATAAATTGTTATATTATTGGTAATGTAGGTTGTGAAAATCTAATTGTTATTTTATTTTTTTTATACAAATTTGTGTCGGTTTTGCGTTGGAAATTCTGATGCTAAACCTTTGATATTTTTGATGTCACTTCATACAGTTTGAACTAAAATGATCCAAATATGCGTCTGCAAATTGTCAATGCAAAATTTGACATTATTGGAGTGGCAGCGTGGGGGTCATTATTACTGGTTAATGAAGATTCGTACAAATGCTTATTCCGACACAAAAAAATAGAAATAGACCTTTTTAACGCTAATTGTATTACCAACTCTGATCTTAACATCGACTATATAGATGTCGCAAGTCCAATGCTAAACAATATTAACGTCATATTTTTTCCAATTTTAACACTGTTGAGTAGAGTGTCGAAAGAACGCAGCCTAGCGAATGAAAAGCGTCGGGTGATGAATAGATCTTGACTTTGGGATGATGGATTAGCTGACACACTTATTTGGTAATCGGAGGTTTGGATACCATTAATTGAGTTGAACTCCATTAATGAGAATGACTTACTTTCGTTCAAGAAAGGTAAGCTATTTTCTCTTTGTTAAGCATCTCTTTTCTTAGCCACTCGAATAAAAGAAAGGTGTGAATGCTCATTAGAGATGGGGACTTTCTTAGAAAGATTTCGGGAAATGGGAGTTCTAACCCAATTCCAAAAAAATGGATTGGATCGAGGTTCGCGCAGAGAGGGAATAGGATCTCGACAAGGTTTGTTCTGCATCTCCATAGAATTGAATCCTACCAGTTGGAAATGTCATAAATCTTGTAGTGGGGACCTCTTCCACTAGTTCAATAAATGAGTTATGCTCAATAGCTTGTCAGTAACTATGAAACTTGATTGAGAATGCTCGCCTAATCGCCCAAAAACTAAATTTTCCTTATTGTCTAAGAGATAAGCTCATTCAAGATGGACAACTAAGTTTGAAGCTGAATTGACCAGTGTTGAATTACCTCTAAGGTCGATTAGGCTGTCAAAGATGTGACTCAGTTATTCTTATGGTGAACAGATGTCAAACTATGGTGATATCAAAGATAATATTAATTATGATATTAAATTCAAAAGGAATATAAGAAATGATAAATCAAAGATTTTTTGGGATTTATGTGAAATGAAGAGTTTCTTTTTTTATATACTGTGTGGAAGGGTCATCTATAATTAGAGAGAGCTCCAAATAAAAGTGTTCATTTTTTCCTCCCATTTTGTCCCATATGAAAGCAATTTTTCTCTCACATCTTTTCCATCACTGCTTTTGGGCTTTACTATTTATTTGATGTTAGAGTGCACGAATAAATTGAGTTAAACAATCAGAGATAAGCTATCACCGAGAGAGAAGTTTTTTCGTTTAATAACTATTTGTATTCTAATTATTTTGAAAAATTCCAGAAAAAGAATGAATGGTTTCTTATAGACTTTATAAAAAAAATTCCAAGCTAAGACAGATAACAAACCACTAAAGATGACGGTTGAACAAGTAATTGAATTTATGTTCTCTCTAGGGCAGAATGAATAAGTATCAAAAGTCAATTTTTCTTTAAAAATCAAGTGCCTACAACAGGATTTAAATTCATGATGGTAGAGATAGATTATTGACTAACATTAGTGATGATAACTATAAAGACTATGAGAGATCATTATCTTACAGCTAAAATTAAATTTAATAGATGGGTCCTTCAAATATTCTTTTTAAGCTCCTAAAGAAATCCATAGACATGATAAAATAGAAGAGGAGTTGAAGCTCCCCAGCAAAGGCAATGGCTAGATTTAGAAAAACCATTAGAGGCATCATCATGGATGATGGAGAATCAAACATTAGAAATAAGGGTATTATTCATTTAATAGCAATGCCATAAATAAAAATTTCTCCTAAACATCATAAAATAAGATCATTATATTTTATTATGAACTTTGGTTATGTCCAATCCAACAACAATATTTGAATTCAATTGTTAGAGATTGGTGGAATAAATGATTTTTTGAGCTAAGATGATGATGTCCATTATATTATCATCAAGATAAAGTCTCATCAATTAGGGTTTATGATTTTAATTAAACATTTATCAAGCCTATTAGAAAATTGAATTACTAAATATTTTTTGAAACCATTTTCAAAGCTATTGAGCCTTAAATCTTTATATTCATCAAAGTTGAGCTTTTTATGAATAAACAGGACAGATGTTGATGCAAAATGCTAGGCTTAGGCACCCCAAAACGAATCAAATGATTTAGTGTAATTTACTTTTAGCTACCTGTTGGAATATTGTGAAATATTTCAGGTGTAATTTAATTTATTTTCTTCTTATCCTATTTAGTGTAATTTACTTGTTATTGCATACTTGTTCTTTTCAGGACAAGCTGCTTATCCTGAAACGCGGCCCGCAGGCTGGCTGCGGGGGTCGACCTGCGGCCTGCGTTTAGTGTAAAAACTCAAACGCAGTTTCGTATAAGCTGGCGAAACTCGCGAACCAAACGGTTCGGCGACATTTTGAAAACGCCGCCCGCACTTATAAGCTGCCCCAAACAGACCCTTAATCTCATAGAGAGAGAGAGAGAGATGAGCTTTTTTTTACGATGATTGTGGCTTCCTTTTCAAGCGATGTCAGCAAAAAAAAAATCAGGACCTTGCCTACTATTTAGGGCTAATAATAAGTGCGGCTTTACTTTTATGCTGATTAATGTGGTGGGTATAACAAGATCACCAGGGATCTGATATTATCAAACTGTTAGATTGTTTTTTGTCCTCTAACGATTAAAGAGTGTGGTTTACACCCAAAAAAGACTAGCTTCTCATGGAAAAATTATTACATCAGGATTCTGCATGTAGAGTTACTTGTAGAGTCTACTCTAGAGCTGACACGTAGAAAGCCGGGGTCCACCTTCATAAAAAATTAAAAAAAAAATGAAAATGCGCGACTCGACCCGACCGTGTTATAAGAATATTTCATTCGTGTTATTCTGAATATTTTCCCCGTTATTCATGTGTTATTGGTGTGTTATTGAGTTGATTTTGAGATATTATTGTTCTTTAAACAATAATACCACTAACACATGAATAAAGCGAAAATATTACTTCAATAACGCAATAATAACACATGAATAACACACCAATAACACATTAAAAACGCGCGACCTGGCTTGACCGTGCTATAAGAATATTTTCTTCGCGTTATTCTGAATATTTTTCGCATTATTCATGTGTTATTGGTGTGTTATTAAGGCGTTATTCATGAATAACTCTCCAATAACACATTAAAAACGTAAAAAATATTCCTTGGCATGAATAACACCTCAATAACACACCAGCAACACATGAATAACGCGGGGAAATATTTAGTCAAGCCGGGTCGTGCGTTTTCAGTCTTATTTTCATTTTTTATGCGAGTGGGCCCTAGTTGTCCACGTGTCAGCTCGAGACTGTACTTCACAAGCAGCTCTATATGTGGAGTCCTGATTGACACAATTGCTGCTTTTGTGAACCATGAATGGCTTTATGCCATTTAGGCTAAGGATAAAAAAAAAAATAATTAAATATTTTCTTAACCAAATTCTTGGCTTTCTTTTCCATTTTTGGAGCAGACAATCAATATAGGTTTAGCTAATTTATATTTTTGTTACAAAATAATAAAAATTATCATACAATATAAATAACTTATGTTGCAGTTTACAACCAATTATTATATCGGACCTAAAGTTAACAAACAAGAAGCAATTTTCTCTAATTTCAGACAAGTTGCATCTTGAAGATGGCCCGAGAGACAGTGAGCTCAATCTCCACTGTTCTTCCCAACTTGTAACGGTCTGGCTAATATATTTATATATATAGTGAGAAACTCCTTCTTCAAGGATATTGTAAAGCTTCAATACAGTTTGCATTTAGTAATAAAACCATACGAGGCACTGTGTATATGTAGCTCTCATAGCACTAAAATGGTAGTACAAATGATAAGATAAGCAATTAAATGGAGACCTGGAGACCCGAGAGAGACGCGGGAAAAATGAGTTGGTCTAAACCA